ACTGCACTGACAAATCAGCTGTTTGTCTTTTTCCAGACTGTCAGGGCTAAGATTGAATAGTTCTTATCTCTGCGTAAGATTACAAAATCTTTTTGGGGTGTCGCAAGTTTTATCTAAAGACTTGCTAACTCAAGTCCTAGGGATCCACACGTAAAGCCTTCCAGACAGCTGATGTAAATGATTTACAATGTCCACTTAACACATCTGTAATCTCATAGTAAACCCACCTTTACACTTACTGTTATTAACCAAATACAATCAGTGATGAAGATGTGTGTTTGCATGTATTTATCGCAGTCATCTTATATGTGATACAGTGGAACAATTCTTGTACTTTTGCCTCTTAAAAGCAACGAATACACTGACCAGCTCAGTCACACTAAAACACAATGGAAGAGAAGGATAGGAGGGGAAAAAGTCAACACAGTGTGAAGTCATGCTGTTTTGCAATGTGATATTGCATCCATACTGGGACACCAAATATCAGTATTTTATTAAAGAAATTAAAATACCAGTAATAAAATGGCCTCTCTCATGCACTACCATCCTGAGATAATGTTAGTTGAGCAAACTTATTAAATGACCTCAACTGAAAAACAATCCAAAACTGGACACACTCAGCTTGACAAAGATACCTGCTAATTCGAAGTAAGCTAATGGTTTAGTCACACGAGTAAAGGTAGGACAGCAACCACCTTGGATATACTAAAATAAATAAATAAATAAATTAATAAAACAACCTGCCTGGTGATTGCACAGGTCACCTGATAGGAGGCACCTTTCTGCAAACAGACTGACTAGGAGAGACTGCAATTACTCTCAGAGATTCTCAAAGGTTTGCAAATAATTAAATCTAATTTAAAACATTCCCATTTATAATGTTGCCATAAACATGTTTGCAGCAGTCTGAATCAGTCTCAACACTTTGAGTGGACTCGACTCAACTGACTGCCAGCTGGTTATTTTCATATGGAACAGGAATTGCTGAGCACAAACGTAAATATTAAATGTGAATTTCTGTCTATGTAGTCCTGACTGTTTATCACAATTAATTGGTGAGTTATGAGAAACCGATTGCATGTAACTCCCAACTAGAGCAGGGCGATATGACCAAAAATATTTATCACGATATACATTTGAAAATTTGCAATAACGATATAACTGACGATATAATTGACACTAGACAAAATACTTTACAACTTCACAACTTTATTAGTGCAAAAAAAACCAACAACCCATCAATGCATTTTCACTTAAACAAGCAGGTGTTTTATGTGAATTAAAGTTATATAAAAATTTAACAGTGCAAATTCAAATTCCTTGCTGACAATTGTTGAGACAACGCCGGTCTCTGCGATTCTTTTGGTCCTGGTAGAGATCACGCTGAGATGTTTCCATGTTTTACACAATCCTTTTATTACCAATTATTCTTACAGATGCATCTGGAGATCAGCACACTGCAGTCCTATGCTAAAGGCTGATCTCTAGAACTCCACACAACAGTTACAGTTATAACCTCTGGTCTCCTCCCCCCTACAGTAAACATCCCCACAAATGGAAATACACTAGTACAGTGGCCAAGGGTGCTGACACCCTGACCCCCATCTCCTTTTATGATAGTGCCCGTTTGCCCTTTGTCTGCTCCTCACCCTCAGTAACTCTTGCTACTGTCCTGGGGGTGGGGGTTGATTGTCCTCCTGCCCTGTACCTCAGTTCTTTGTTCCCATTCCAAGCCTATTTTCTATTTTGTATTCTTACACCCATTAACCGCAATATTATAATGTTGCAAGCAATCACAAACTATATTCTCTTTAACTCTGATGTATATTAAGGAATCTATTCTCAACACAGTTTAACCAAAAGGCATTTCCAGTGGAAATTAGCCGACATATCCTCAGCATAACCATGCATAATATCCACAAAACTTAAAAAGAGGTCATACACACACAATACGGTCATATTATGTTGAAGCACAGTACGTATCACTCCGCCAGGCTCCTGACTACGATAGTAGTAATGCTCCGATAATCCATCAAGCAGTCCAGGTTCGTGGCTTAGCAAAGTGGTACTAAAACATTTGACAGATTTTCGAGCGCCGTGTACCACATAAAATCGTTTCGAGGTCAGTAAACACAACCAGAATTCATACATAAGGCACACGGGATTATAAGGGGCACTGTCGATTTTCAGAAAAATCAAAGGATTGATTTTTAGTGTGCCATATTTTCCAAAAAACACGGTAATAACGACGGCCCGCTAGCATGCGCTACCAAAACTAGTGCTTTGTTGTGTATCTGACAGACGAAAGCTAAACCAGTTCCACACCACTGAAGCTGCGTTTCATTCAACGATTTGCTTTCGCTGCCATGCTTTTTCCGACGTGTGCGTATGAAAACAAAGGCACTGCGCATGCGCGTTTTACCCATATTCTATCGCGATATTTCATTTTTCTATCGTTGCCCAAAATTATACCGGTATTACCGTGAACGGTATGATATGGCCCAGCCCTACTCCCAACTTGATCCCATTCAATCGCAGACGATGGCAGACTGACTCCGACTTAGGACAGGTTTTAATGACAGCATTGTTATGGCTATTATATTATTATATATAATATTATGCATTATCAATCCTGTCCAGGTATTTGTAGTTTTTTGTACCTCCTTAAACCACTGTCTACTACAACTAGAGAACATGCTTAAAATATTCTAACATGTCAACACCCTTGTTATCCACCCATATTAGTTTGTCCATTTACTTTTAAGCATCTGAAAATGGGGGACTACATATAAAAATGACTGTCACTCTGAAACAGTTAATGCAATCATTTCTTAAACCCCTTGAATTAAAGCTGAAAGTCTGCCTTTCAATTTCATGTTTGTTTGATTGATTTAAGATCCTATGAGGGGATGTAAAGAAACAAAATACGAAAGCGATGTCGTCCAAAAACTTCTTGACCTTACTGTATCATTGTTGCAAAACCTGTGACATAATGAAAACAATGAAGTTGGTGGAAACTACACCTTGTCCTTGAGCCCTGGCTCCACAGCACGATGATACAGTATGTTGTTCCCACCATGTGGAATTTTGTGGCCATAACATAGTTGATCCTTGTGTTGCTGACCTAGTTATTACTGAAACTTAACTTCAAAGTACAGTAGTGCTCGGTCAGCATTACACCCGTATAGCAATGACACATCCTTCATTCAGGTTGCTAAATGTGACACAGTTCAATTATCTCAAAAGGAAAACACTTGAATGAAACTATTTAATAACAGCGTTGCTTTGTTTTTCTGCTTTTGTTGACTGATATCGGCAAATAGAATGACATTTATAGAATGACAGGCGTTTATTTTTTGTGCCGCATCAGTGTTGATCTGGTTAGTGGTTCTAGGACAGTGTGACGAGGCATTAAAAGGGGGGAAAAAACGTAAAAAAAGGTTTTGAGTGATTAATAAGAACAGAAAAGTGCCATTTAAGTATTGGTCCAGGACATAAAACCGAAAAAAAGAGGAATAAATGGCATCAAAAGCAAAACAAAGATAATAAAAATATCAATATTGGCATCACCTGGTATCAGCTGCTAATAATAAAGATGCATGACGCAATCTGCAGTGTTTGCATTGATTTACAACAATTTTAGAAGTTGTGATAACTAAATTAAAACATTTAGGTTTTGACTTGCAGTACAAACTGTGGCTTGGTGTATGTTTTGCAGAGACTGTTGTCATTAGCAACAATATTTAGGCCTTTTATGATGTACATTTGCCCTTAAATAATGGAAACTCTGTGACCTAAATTCTGCTTCCCACAATGAGATCTTACTCAGTACTTCTGAGAGGAGGCCTTGGTGGAAAAAAAGACAGATGGTGAGAAAGAGAAGGAGGAGTGTGGGGAAATACAGGGGAGGGAAAGGGAGTTTTAAAACCACACCTCCATGTTTCTTTTTGTTTTTTTTAATTAATGATGAGCAGGAGTGAGTGTGTTTGAATGGCTTAAAGAGAAACGTAGATGAGTTCCTCTTGCTTTGGCAGCCTGGAGAGTGATGTGACTTGTGTCCGCCTTTTAGCTTGTTTCCCAGGTTTCCTTTTATCATAGATGCTGTGGCTGAATTGTTGTAGTTTAATTAAACAGTGACTTAATGGTAGTTATCCACTGCGTCACATTGGCACATTGGTTTTCCTTATACTGGAGTATGTGATTTAGAAGCATTTTTTTGAGGTGATGCTCTGGATGGCGTTGACAGTATATTGAGAGGGTTTTCTAGTATTTCATTTAATCCATGTATTTATTTATCTACCCACGAGTCACAACCTGTTAAAGTACTGCTTCTTAGCCAATCATCCATCGTGCAGAGAAGTGTGATACCATGTCCATAAATACTACAGCTTGCCCTTGTGTGATTGAGAAAAAGAGAGGATCTAAATGTGTTTTCACACGGCAAACTAAATAATATTTAAAAACACACAGTTTTACCTTGAGCTGGTGAGATGTTGTGCTTTGTTTTACATGATTTTGCTTTTTAAACGCTGCGATTTTAACATAAGCGTTGCTAAATGTAATTCTTTGTCCTGTCTTTCAGACGTTGTCTCTGCACGCTCACAGGAGTCTGGTTTGGCTGCTGCCCCGTCTGTGCCTTGCTGGTGAGACAACCTGACCATTTCCGTCCTCCCCTGTCAAATAAATGCGCTCAGGACACTTCTAATTCAGTTTCTGCTTCGGCGGGTCCAAGTTTGGTCCATGGCCGGTCCTGTTTTTAATCGGTAATCACTCAGCGCCAAGCTGGACCCGAGGGCTCAGACTCCCCCCACCTGTTCCTGCTCCTCCGCCCCGCCCCCTAAACAGCTTTCCGAACACATACACGCATCCCAGCTCCGTAGCCAAGCGCGCCGATTGGCCCGTGAGGAGGAGGAAGAGGAGGAGTATGTCAGTGAGGCTGCACTTCAGAAGTTCACGGCCACCTACACAGATGCTGAGACCATTACTGGTAATTGCTGCATGCATATGTTATAACTGTTGGCAGACAAAACTTACTGGAACCCATTTGGCGCTGTTGTATCAGCACTGTGTGCAGACATGTGTATAATTCATCTGTCAGAAATGATCTCCTTTGGTCCTTTACAAGTCCATTTGGCTGCATTAATGTATTATAGAAGTTACACAGTACAGCACAATTTAGCCCAATTAAAAGTTTACAGTAATGCCAGCTCCCAGTCTCTAATGGTTTTGGAGTAAGGTGTTAGGAAGACTGCAGGCTGATGGAGGTGGTTTGGATGAGAGTGAGGCCTTTGGAGCTGTGAGAAACTGTCCCTTTTCTGTGACCCTTCTCTAATGTAACATCCTGTCAGTGAAGCAGCTCCAGGGGACTTCAGCTGTGTGTGAGCCAGCATGCGAAAGAGAGAAGAGCTCTCAGTGGACTGTTTCCTCAATAGAGCAGGATGACACTAGTGTCCAAAATGTTGCTGTGCACTGGCCCTTCTCCTTTCTCTTTACAGTCTGGGAAGAACACCCACCAGACACTTTTAATTGAGTTGGTATTACATACAAAATTAATGAGTATTGATTATTTTTCTTTCCTTCTTTTTGCTATGCTAATCATGCAGAAGTCTAGATTAGAGGAGGTTGGGATTCTGCGGATCATTAAGGGAGGGAGAGGGAGCTAAGTAGAACCTGGCTAAAAAGCTACTTCAGCACTTCATAAATGTTGCCAAGCACTTATACAGCACAATACTGTGTAACGTTCATACTCACAGGAGCAACAGGAAAAGACCCTCCCAAAGACATTCTTTTTCCACCCTTGGGCATGATCTCAGTTCCTTGTATTATTTTGAACAGCAAGGTCTCGCTTATTTTTATGTTACCAAAAAGGTCATGTAGGAAAGTCATACTCATATTCAGATTTAGTTACACTTTTAGAGTCAAATCGACTGCCAGCTCACCAGCCAGAGCACCTCTGCTCGTTCAGCATGACCAAATCAAAGGTTTGCGCTTATGGCTTATTGGTGACCAGGTACACACATGTACTGTAGCTGGTGCAGTGTAGGGTTTCCCCATATATAGAATTTACTTGGGCAGGCCACCAAAGTAAATTAACACCCACCCAATATAAATGGCGATTCATATTATCCATCCTAGAGAACAGGGCCATTCTTGGTCTACAGCAGGGATGATAGTTTTTGTTCCTTTAGAGATCCACTACAAACTGAATGAACCGAATGGAAAGTTGTGAATTGTTATGAATTTGACGATATTGGTGTTTAGTGTATTCTGCTCAACAATCATGTTTTTAAGAGAGCTGAGCAAATCCCATGAAAAACATGCAATCATTTTGAAAGTGAAACATAAATGTTGCGAAATCTAAACTTTCATGGAAAACAGGCCGAAGTGCTTAAAGAAGAATTAATGGAAAGAACTGCATGTCTGAAAAGTGTTATATTTACTGTTAGAGCCCGACCGATGTCAATGGGGGTCAATAGCAGCCATTTATTGATATATCAGTATCAGCATTTACAATCACCTATAAATTAAAAAAAGAGAGAGAGATGGGAGAAACGCCCTTTAACCATGTCATGAGTGTTATGTAGGGCACTCTACCACTTCCCTGCCGGCAGCTCGTAAGTGTAAACGAGTAATCCCTGACTTGTATAATTAAAGAAAGATTAATTTTAAACTGCACTGTAATGCGATCTTAGTGAGGACTAATAAATTACTTCACATAATAAAAGTGAAGGATTATGTTTATGCTTTGTGTGTCTAAAGTAGAAAATATCTGCCGATATATCAGATGTTTAAATCACCAATTCCTCTATCGGTGATTCTCTGGTACGGACTTTTAGAAGACTGAAACCCCACAGTGCTGTGTACATTCATATGACAGCTTATTCGCTAAAAGTCAGTGTCCGACTTTTGTAGGTAGTCTGTTATACCCTAAACAGCCCTATAAATCTATAATATTATTGCTCTTTATTAACTTAACTTAATTTTCCTTTAACTGTTGGCTTTAATGCATAATTAATGCATGCTGTTTGAATCAAAGGACGGTGTTTTTCTTTTTCTTTTTTCTTTAACATATACGTGAAACCCAGTTCTTGATTTCAGGCTGACAGGCTCATTCTTTAACAGAATCAAAGCTGTGGTAGGATCTACAGCAGCCCAGTTTTAAAGTTGGCTGAGGTGTTCAGGACAGTGCTGCCATCTGCTGGTTTGTGTTCAATTTGCAGTTGTTTTGTTTGTGTCCTCATGTTTCCCTCTCTCAGCCTTCCGTCTGTCATTCTGCTTCTCCAACTCTCTCTTTGAGTCTCTCACAGAAAGAGAGAGCTGGTGTGGGAGTGGGTACGGGCGAATGAATGAACACAATGAGCTGAATAGAGCAGCTCATTGCCATGCGGCAGTTTCTGGGTGTGAGATTAATTCTCCGTGGTTACCAGCCTCCGATGATGTAAAGAGTTGAGTAACAGTGAAATTATGGGATGTCTGATGTGGAGAGGACGATTGGGAGCAAACAGACACATAGAAAAGTGGCAGAGGACGGATAACTTTGGTAAGCGGCTGGCAAAGTTATGGCAAGTGGAAAAACGGAGTTTGAATCTGATCTGATGGGTATGGTCCCCTGGCTCTCATCCAGTCACAGCATGCAGAAACATCCACTGTGCTGCTTTTTTTTGTTTTTTCTCAAAGTAGTGCAGGGTTCTTCTTGTGTTTTCACAAAGACGAGTTTGGACCTGTGCTGACCCACCAGAGCCTCAGTAAAGCACTCAAAACACTGTGTGTGGAGATTAGCCTCTGTGAGCTAGTCAGTCTGACCAGTGCAGTCACTGTTTGAGGGAGTGTAATCATGGAGTGGAAAATTTTGACAGGGGGGGAGGGGCTGCTATACACATAAACTGAGGGTTGCTATGGCTACAATGTTTTTGTACATAAAAAAAACTATGAATAATCCAGCAAGAACAACTGGCTGACTGCACACTTTACAGAACAAACTGAACCTCATTCGTTTGGATTTTATCAATTCTGTGGACTTGAAAAATATTTAACATTGAGTTGAATCTGAATTTAACATTTATAAAATATGCACTGTGAGTTTGTGCCAGATGTAGACAGATGATCTCATCTGGAAACAAATGGAACACAAATAAGTGATTTCAGATATTTACATACTGTATCTGATGTTCTGTGAAGCTGATGCCTCTTTACTATTCTGGCTGATGATATTAAGGGTTAGGGTTAAGCGTTTACATATTTTATGTATTTTAATGTCTAAAGAAGTATTCCTTTGCCCTTCATTTCTTGTCTGTTAAAGCTGTCCTTTAAGCTGCGTCCACACTGGAAACGATTGGCTCATCGTGCATCGCTTTGTAGCCGACGGCTGGTCACTTGTGAACGTTCCAGACTCCTGTTGCCTGCATCTGTATTTGTATAGATATATAAGTTGAAAAAATATCTCCAGTCACAGCTACTTTGTCTCGTCAGCGGATATTTTGCCCATAGTCGCTTGAAGTCACCGAACGGGATTGACTCTCTGTGGTCTCTGGTTGCCATGTCGCTGGCGGTGTGATGCAGCGTTACCGTGTCATTCCACAGGATGTCCAACTAATCAAAATCGCCAGCTCACATTTGTATCCAAGTAAACAGATTTGTATTATGTGGATTCTTACTTTTAAGCGCACTATTACTGAGAACAGATTGGTGTAACTTCAACATTCGTGGATGTTACTTAGACACACATCACCGGCACTCCCCGACAGCTGCTTCCTCCACCGGCTGGAGAGTTCACAAACAGCTTCAGAAACCAAGACACCAAAGCGCTGATCCCAATCTGATGCAACATCTTCAGCTTGCCCCGGAACAAGCCCCTTCGATAGAGACCACTATCTTTCATCCCGCAGGACTCAAATGATCCGGTGCCAGACCCCACAGCAGAACCGCAGATCTCGTGCAAACATCCCTTGACCAGTAGGCACGATTGAGCTCTACACAAAGGAAGTTGGTTTTGCTCTGTGATTCAGGTTATCAGAAGTATAGTAGGCAACCACAGAAAATGTATGCACATGAAAAAAAAATCACTTTGTACTAACTGCACAAACCAAACGAGAAGCATTGCTGTGTGGAATTTTGCATGGTTTTTGTCCTGGAAGAGTGAGAGTCACTTGACCAAATATTTGTGATTTATAATCCACAGTTAAATCCTTCTTTGATGGAAATTATAATGATTTATTGGGAAATCCAACAACCAATCCCATGTTACGTTTGTCATTCAAGATGTTTACTTTCAACCTGTCAGGTAGGACTTGAGGGATTTTATTTTATTAGTAATAAACTTTTTATTTACAAAGAAAATAACACCTTAGCAAACACACTAGGCGCAGATTCACAGGGTTAGTGACATTTGAAAACCCTGGTTCGCCACCCACGTGTAGATGTGTGAGCTGCCGGTGACATTTGATAACACTGACGTACTACTGCGCTTTATTTCACGAGTGCACCCTCTGTGACCAGCAGCTGCTTGTGCTGCAATCTAAATCTGGATAACACTCTGCTGCAACTCCACGGAGCAGCACTACAACTTAAATGGAGGCAATTTTCTAAGTGTTAGTGGATTATAGTTTGCATCAAACCACCCACCAACTTCTGTACTTCCTTTTACTTGAAATTACCTCATTTCTAAAATGAAACATCTCAAAGATCGGTTACTTTGTGCACCACCCTAATCGCTCACATTACCGTGAAGTTTGGTAACTAGTGATTCTAAACTGATTAGTGCAGCTATTAGTCTGCTTCCAAGACTATTACGCATCAGCTTAGGATAACATGTAATCATATCGAGCTTTGTTTGGTGCCAAAAGCTGGGATCTGTGGGATTACAGGGAAAAATCTTGAGTGGTGTTTTGGCAGGTTTTCTGCTGGAGCTTTGCTCCTGTCGCGCACACACTGTGATTACTGCTGTAACGAGGAGAAACCTTTTCCGCTGGTCTGTTTTTGTGGTAGTTTAACACTTGCTCTCTAATATAGCAAAATCTCCTTTATGTTGAGTTTATTAACTTTTGGCTCAGGCTGTGTTTTCACCACACCTCGAAGCACACGCACACACTGACACTTTTAAAATCTTGAAAGGCCCAATCTCTTGATATTAGTGTTTTAGTAATGGAGCTTGAGCAGCATCAGACCTGGTGTGGCCACAGTTGGTTTATACAGGATAGGGAAAATAGTGTGTGTGTGTCTTTCAGCTTGTGTGCAGAGCCCAGCTGGGTTTGTTGGCTGCCAGAGTGTGGAAAAGTGAGAGAGTGGGGCGGTCCATGTGATCTCTCGTCATTGGCATGTCAAGCATGATGGGACCAGTTTGGTTGGCTCCGGCCGCTCCTCCCTCCCTCTTTTTCCGCCTCTCTTTTGGTCTCCTGCACTCTGTACTGTCCTCTAAAACTTTTAGTACTCTGCTCTTCCCATTTCCCACCCTCCCGGCACCTCTCTCTCTTTCTGTGTTATTTCCCGCGACCTTGCCCTCTCCAGGATCGCTGGAAAATGTAATTGGAGGGCAAGAGGGGGCAGTGGTTGTCGTGCTCGGGCACCATGAGTGAGTACGCTGTGTGGAGAATGGTTTTCTAGCAGTTTCAGCTCATCTCTAGTGATAGTTATGAGCAGTCTGACTAACATCTGGACAGCTTGCTCGCCGTATCTTCTGGCTATCCCTTTTGTTATCTGTTTGTCGGGGACTGTTGCTTTCTTGTCTTTTTAACCTTGTATATTGAAATGGGTGTTAAAGAGCTGGCTTTGCAAAGGAAATGTTTTTGTTTGAATTCTTTCAATCTGTGAAAAATCAAAAGTGTCACATGTCGTCATGTGGGTTCAGTTTTATAGTAAAAGATAAGATTTTCAGGTTTAAACGGCTAAAAGCCTGCCAGTGAGTGTGTTTTAGGAAGAAGGGAAAAAACCCTGGCTTTTCAAGCCTTGACCTCAGGGGGCAGAAGTGCATTGTTTTGGTCAACAGGAGGCAGCCATGTTGCATTTCAGATCTATGCTTTCAAGTTAAAGATTTGAAAGTCATGTCTGGGAGATTGAACGGTCTGACACAAACAACTTGTGACTGCTAACATTTCAGCTGATCCTAGTCAGTCAGTAGCTTTCCTTTAATGTGATAAAACCCTCTCTGTGTCTTCGTAGTCTGCTCGCTGTGTTAGGCGGTGTGTTTATCGCTCAGACGGACTGTGTGACAGGCCTATTTTTACATTTGAACTTGAACTTTCTTGTTGTGGTGTCCTCACAGCTTGTGTGCTTTGCGCCTCCTCTGTATTTACTTCAAAAGGTTTTACTATCCACTCTCTTATGAAGAGACGGTGCGATACAAAAAAAATACAGATTTTTTTTTTTTTTAAATGGTCCATAGTAAATGTAAAGTTCAGTTGTGTGATCTTCTTTCTGTCACATGAAAAAATAATTTCAAAAATATTTTTATATGTATAATTGTTGCATTTCCCAAGAGGTCCAGGTGATCTGCTTTCGTTGCTCACCTATTCTAAGAGGGAGCCCCATTTGTTTCAATTTTCACACTGGACGCCCTTCCTGATGCAACCGAAAGGGACTTTTTCTCCTCCCAGGATCAAACCTGGATCTTTCTCTTGTTAGGCGAATGTGTAAACCACCACACCGTGGAGACACAAAGTAGTCTGAGCCTAAATGCTCAGTAGTATCAAATCACAGGCAGTTGGTACCTACAGCTGCAGAGAGAGGAGGAGCAATGGCTGTAACATTTATACATTTTCTATATATGTTAATATCAGAAAACACACACGCATATTTCATCCTGCCTTTCTTTTTGCCTTTAAACAAAGCTCAAAACCTTGTTGGATGATATTTGCAGTGTTATCATTCTTAAACATCACCCAGTTTACTGTTCATGTTTCATATCAGAATCCAAATATTGCAGTACATTTAGGTATATTGAATTCATGCTCCTATAATGTCAGATTGTGCTCTGCAGGAAAGCTTTTAATACACTTCAGTTACAAAACTTCAGTGTCAATATAATTTTATTTGCTGCTATACTTTGCGTAAAAAACCAAATGATCTGCCAGAGATGTGCTAATCAATCATAATCTTACTCAGAGAACTTTTACACAAACCAGAGGCAGCACAAAGTGGCAAAATCCAGAAAATTGTGAAATGTCACTTGTTCTGATGGAACTGGGTATTCAGCACTTACATCTGTGTTGAAATTTCTCTGGCTGTGCTTGCTAAATGTTTCCCCAGCCTCTGCTGTGAGTGTGTGTTCCCCTTTTCAGCACAGTCAGTCATTCAGTCTGCATTAGAAAAACTGTAAGAGCGCATTGTTGGGGAGACAGACAGACAGACGGGCAGATAGAGAGACAGAACAAAGAAACAAAGAACTTTATTTTTACTGTATGTTAATTCCCACGTTTAGTCTCCTTCTGTCAGTCCAAGAGCTTCTCTGTTCTATATTTGTGGAGGAGGGGAAAAAGAAAAAACTTGATTTGTGTGTAAGCAGAGAGAATGTGTTCTCTAATAGAGCCAAAAATGGATGACGCTTTTAATAGCACACTAAAGTGATGTGTGAACAGAGAGCTGCATAGCTGAAAGCTTAGGTAAGGTTATTTAAGTTTGCACAGCAGAGCACAATTGTGAATCAGTGGTTCACAGAGGAAGGCTGCTGTTGATTTTGTGCAGGGGAAAAAAAAGAGAGCACAACTGAGTGGCTCGGTGGTTAGGGCTCACGTGCCTCGATCCTTCAGTCCCCTCTTAAATCCCAGCTGACTGGAACTTTTGTGGCGTGTAATGTCATCCATCCATCTCCCTTTACTATCTCTAATCACTGCAGCTGTCATACAAGGGCTGAAAACACCCAGTAATTATTAAAATGATAAAGAAAGAGGCCATACAGAGAGCAATCCCAATTTGGGCTATAACTATGTAAGAGATGTATACATTTCACATCTTTTATTTTTATTTTTCACAGGAAAATATAGGAAAAAATTAAGACGGTTGATCTCAGGTTACTAGGGAAGCCCTGCAGCTAGTCGACACCTACTTACATCTGTTTATTTATTATGTCTGAGCAGGTTAATCTCGTATCAGTTGGCTGCAGAGAGACTGGACACCTGATTTTGTTTTATCTTGTTTGGTATGCATGGCATCTTTATCTCTTTCGGGGTAATAATGGGCTTAATTATGGCGGAGAATTTATTTATTGTCCTAGATAAGGATGTGCTACAACACTGGATTCAAACTTAATTTAAACTGTTTGGCAAGCCAGTATTTTATAAAAATGATTAGAAATGTCTGACATCTAGCTCATTTCAAGCCTTTACAATCGCAAAGCTACGGTTAATTAGGGATACCAACTCAACTTTTAGCTTGTCTCCTTTTTGGTTTTCTTTTTCCTGCAATTAAAACCTAACCAGTTCCTCAGTGGGCCACTAGAGGGCCTCATACACCCTCCGGTTCAGAAGACTGCATGAGTGTACTAAATGAAATATATTGTCCTGATTACTAAATTGAATAACTCAGAAGTTCTGGTGTTTCCTGTGTCCACTAACTTGATGAAAATGTGAAAGTAAATATTTCCAAAGAAAGCAGCAGTTATTCTTCACTTTGTCTTCTCTCCTTGTGCAGATGTGTGTAACAATACTGATTTGCCGGAGCTCGAGATTATCAGCTTATTGGAAGAACAACTGCCGGTGTACAAGCTGAGGGCTGACACCATCTTCGGTTATGACCAAGATGATTGGCTGCACACTCCCCTCTTGGGCCCTGACGCTGCCGTTGACCTGACTACTGAACAGATTGAGGAGACCCTCAAATACTTCTGTAAGTTCGTTATGCTGCGTTTTCAAAATATAATAACACGCGTGTCCTGTTGTTGGAGAGTGACAATGAGAGATCTGAGTGTTATGGCAAAGTTAATGTTGTGGAAATGAGAGAGGGTGTTGACTCCACTGATGTCTCCGTTAGTGTGGGCGAACCAAGTGACCGTGGTTGCCAAAACAAAATTAATAACTGCTGTCTATCTCACTCTGGTTAATGTTTTACTTTTTCGTGCACTCAGTGCGCATGTTGTGTGGTTTTTTTTTTTATACCATCGTCAGCACTTGCCTTATCAAACTGTGGCTTTTGATTGCAATCTGTGCCAGCTAGAGCACATACAGACCCACATACACACAATTTGAATTAAACAAACATGCACAGGCTCGTGATAACATGTGCAAACACTGCACATGGCAAACCAAGGGAGTGTAAAGTGTTTTGTTTTTTTTTCACAATTAATTATTAATATCGAACTCATGTCGACTTGGAATAGTGACTCAGGGTAAAACATGTTCTAAAAATAAACCAAGCATCTTATAAATAGGCTTAATCAAGAGCTGCAAATACACCCGGTGCCCCATTGCCTGCACCTTCAATTTAGTATTGACATTCATCACAGAGAACCAGCCTATCAGGTGATAGCGAGGGGGCAGAAGAGCCATTATTACAAATCATGAAAATAGTTTTTTGCTGTACAGTCAATACCATCACTGTGATTTGTCATCATCTGTATCTCCACTTGGACTTTTACTAGCTATCCCATCTGCTTCAAGGAGATGGCTCTGTATCGGCACCCTAAGCAGGAGTGATACATGAGCTAAGATCTTTAATGGTAAAGCTCAACTGATCTTGAGTGTCTGATTGTACAGACCATCACAAAGTGCCGACGTGTTACCATTTTTAAGCATTTATATAATGAAAAGTCCAGCCCAACTTGCATCTTAATCAGGAGCGCTGTGGGGGAGGGGGATATAGTACACGCTGTTGCATCATCCGAGTAAACATTGATTCGATCTGGTGCCTGAGAAGGATGAGTGTGAGGAGGTTGTGACATGAGGCAGCTGACCGATCGAAGGCAAATCCATGCTGTGATGACATAAAATGCACATGTAACAAAGACTGGACTGTCTGATTGGTAAATTTGTTTCACAGCCTCAGCTGGTGATGGATATTTTGTCAACAGAGTAACAGATAACATGTAGGAGGTTTTAATTAGAATAGCTGTATGTTCGGGATTGCGTTGTTTCCTATTATTTTATCTTTTGATTCAACTGCATACCTGAAATCAAATAGCAGCGCACAGATACGTATAAATGCAATGATAATGCATGTATTAATGTGCAGGCTCACTTGGCAAGCAGCTCTAACTGATCCTGTAATGGGGTCTTATGCAACCTTACTGCATTACATGAGTAAGCAGTTATATGACTCTACTGGCACATTAGCATAAAACCATGCATGTCACTTAGTTAGCAGCAGTTGCTTTTTTTTCACACTGTAAGAAACACTGGCTGTTTTTAGCAAGCAGCAGGTTCACAGTATGTTGTTAGCCTTGTCTTAGCCCATCCTGTGAGCATGTAGCTGCTTTACGCTGTAGTTTCATAATGTGCTTCTCACTGGTTCCTCTCACGTGCTTTCTGCCTCCCATGCATGCACTTCATCACTCCCTATATGACAAATCCCAGAATCCCCATTTTGGTTCATTCATTTTGAGTTAGCCACGTCACCCCTGCCAACGCTACACTGCCTTCTCTGCATCTACATGCTGCTCAGCCGTAGGCTTTGGAGTCTGAGGCTGTTTCCATAACAACCACGCAGAAGGACAAAGTAGAGGAGAGGAGGGAGGGCGAAATGCTGACATGTGAATGGTGGGCGGGAAGAAGCTGGTGAAATTCCCCCCCCCCCTCATTGGCTACAGACATCCTTTTAGCCCACCCATCCCACTGTGTCGTCATTCTCATCATTTCTGCTGCAAAACCCGTGACTGCTGCTGCTGCCTTGCTCTCTGTATCTCTGTGTTTATTGAGTCATTGCTGGAGATGCGGTTGTCCATGTGTTGAGCTAAAGAATGTTACAAAAGGGAAGGAAAAGGTCATTTTGCGAACATGGCCAGAGTAACAGCTGACAGCAGCCGAAGGTGGCCTGACATGAAGCTATAAGTGGATGGACCTGATTATTTGCTCTGATTTGTTTTGGAGTGACTCTGGAAATGTGACGACAGAAAATAAGGAAGATGAGGGACATATTTGGCAGAAGATGGAAAATTTGCTGAAAATGGTAAAGACTACCTGACGGACTAAAATACAAATAAGTGACTCGGTGTTTTTTCCAGCTGACAGCTGATGACGCAAATAATGGTTCTGACTGATGACATCCAAAAATGGCACCAGCAGTGCATTAAATTAAGCATAGCACAGCAACGGGCTGGTGTTACTCAGTGTGGAACAGAAAAGAAATCTGATCATGAGAACCAGATTCTTACCTAAAGTAACCGTGTCCATTCTGGTATCTGCTAAGCATGCTGAGAAAGAAGAATTGAGATGCTGACCTATTGACCACCAGACTCTACTGGAAACCAGTTAAAGTGACAGATGCTTGTTTCTGACCATACTGGGATGCTACAGTTAAGTATGCTGGGACATTGGCACATCTGTCTGTCAGAGCAGTGAGGATGAAGAGACGAGGCCAGACCAGAGGCCAGAGGTTTGTTAAGGCAGACTACTACGAGCTGGACTGGTACTATGAAGAGTGCACTGATGGTAAGAGAGCACTTCAGTGTGGATTAACATGTACAAGCTGAAAAGCCAGACACTTTCCTGAAGTTGGAAAGAGGCTAATTTCTTTATGTAGCAAGTAAGTAGCTTCTATTGGATAGCTGATTTCAAGTGGAAGACTGTTACTTAGACGGCTGTTGTGGGGATTGTATCCAAGTAAGACATTATTAGTACAGAACAGTTGAGACTGAAAATGGGATAAGAGCAACTACAATGGAGAAAGAGAGCCGCTTCCTGCACTTTACATACGTCAACATGTCAAATTGTTTGCAATCTATCTAAAAAGAAACCAATTCAAAGCAGGGGCATGGAGGACTTCCTGGAAAGTTAGCTGGGAATTCTTTGGCTTCAATTTCACACATATTTGAAGTGCTTTGAGGAAGTCGTGCACACTGAATATACATTTACTGTCTTTTAAGTAACTCACTCTTGGGATCCGCTTGAATGTATGCTAGTTTCTTTCCTATTTAAATCATGTGAATGTCACCTTGTGGCTTGGCATTCTCAGCAAAACCATGAAGGTAGGTGTTGTGGAAAGGACAGAGGAGCAGCATTATAAACAGTAGGTGCTGTAATAGGTGGTGTTTGGAAGGTGAGTCAGTGGCTTCTAATATAGAGCCAAGTAGTAGTTGTGGGTGTTAGGTGTTGGCGGTGTGACTGGACTTTATGGTGGTTCCTGTGTTTCTGGACAACAACTAGAGATCTTGTTGTGCTAACTCCAGCTCCCTCCTGCTGATGCAGCGGGTAGCTGGCGTTAGCACATAGCGACAAAATGAATAAAGGTTATGTTGTGGAGATGGTGACAAAGTAACAAATTACAATAATCTAGTCTCAATGACATAACTGCAGTAAATGATCTCATGACAAAGAGCAGGATTTTTTAGAAGAAACCTGTAATTGCTTAGAAATAAAGTTTCGAGTTTAGATCTGTGCTGTTTAGATCTTTGCTGCGATCTGTGACCTGTCTTAGCTAAGTTTGCATCCATGTATATGTTTCTGCTCATATGCACAAAAATGAAAGCTTTTATCTGTAGCTTGTCCAGCAGAGCGGCGCCAACTCGGTCGTTATTGTACGTTGAGGTCTCACTGTAGCACATGTAGCAGTGCACTGTGCAGATGGTGCTGTGGAGTCAAGCGGTGTCCTCACTGTAGGTTGCTGACTTGTTTTATTAGAAAATGCTGCTGGAGCGTTAATGAAGAGCTGATATTAGCTGATATCAGCCCCTGTTGGAGACCTAAAAACAAAACAGGCTTAAACTAATGCAACGTTATAAAATGATCCTTTATGTATTGAATTCCAGTGTGTTACAACATCCTGTGGTATTGTCTCAAAGTAGCTTTAGTGTGTGACTTGAAATGATTAAATACCAGATTGATCCACATGGTCATGTGACAGGTGTCACTATCAGCAGGGTGCAGTAGTGGCTCGCTTGTTACCCTTTAGTGCTTTTTAGCTCCTACTCTTTCTTCACAAACATGTCCGTCTTTCTACTCTCGTCTTGGTCCTTTTTGCTCCCTAATTATGATGCACCTGCTTATGGTCCCTTTATTTAAAGTGGGATGTAAGTGATTTCATGCTATACGTGTAGTTCTCACCTATAGTAATTGCTTTGCTTTTGGTCGTTCGCATGCACATATTTGTGCACTTTTTGTATTTTGACATCATTAAACTGCACACTTAATATGGATGTTGGAGGAGAAATGAGTTCATTGTCCTATATTATGCATTCTTACATAACAGTTTGAGATGGATTCCCAGTTCGAGCTGCGCAGCTTAAATGTTATTCACATGTGGCCAGCTGGTATAGCTTTTATTTCCAGTCTTTTTTTAGGAACTGATATTGCCTGGTAGACACTGACGGTAGGTTTACTGTGTTAAAATGTTTAAATGCTGGATGAGAAGGGACACACTGCTTCTTTGATAAAGCTTTTCATGGAGTGTCGAGGCAGAAATAGATACGCAGCTGGTTTTATGTTGGGGAGGGATGAGGAAGTAGGTTGGCTTATATTTAGCCCAATGATTTGCATGCTCCTCCAAGCCAGTCTTGTTGATATCAACCTGACAACGACTTTTTGGCACTTCCAGAGGCCTTCAAACAAATGGCTTCATGGACAGAGGACAACCAGGACAGCTGGGCTCAGACTGGGGCTGGGGCTAAATAAAAGGGCCCTGTTTTTCGATTGGGAATGTAAGAGATGGTTCTAACAATATTTGAATTTCAAGCTCGA